AGTGTCATTTTATTTAACTTATGGGTTTCTAGAATTACTGTGAAATGTATGAATAGGCATAATAAACTGAGTAATAATACAATAAATGTACTTATTTTCTGCAGGAAGAGATCGGTAAAGAAGCAACACCATGCAGAATACCATAAGTGCCTTGGAAACCAACAGGGAGATATAACTTAGTATCTTTATAAACATATTCCTTTGTGAACCAGAGATTTATTTTTTGCAGACAGACTCTTCCATGATTCCTTTGAGTTTTCTATGTTGACAGTTTGCAGATATATATTCAGTATATTAGTATATCTGATAGTGATTGGCACCACACTTTATATAAAATGAACAATCACATGCCACATTTGATGTGTAGTTCTACAAAATGACAGAATATTTCATTGTCATGATTAGTTGAAATCACTAACAATATTTCTTTAGAAACATAAATTTGAAAACTATATTTTCATATATTATATGATATGATTTGATATTTTTATTACTTTTACATTTCCATTCCCAGAGCATTATTTGAAGTTGCATGAATGAAAAATAAAATTTCACTCATATTTTGGAAACAATGGAGAATAAATAAATCTGTGAACAACCTATCCATACTAAATTCATTTGTGTACTGTATAATAAATTTAACATAATAGTCCAGCTATTGTATAATACGTAGATTGTGTAAACAGACACAAGTAATAAATGAAGTGTTTATTGTTATGAATAGTCTTCCAAGTAATTCTTTACTTCTATTTTAACAATTTAATTGTTGGTAATCCATGATTTACAAACCTATTGAGTGAGATCAATACTGGCAGACTGTCACAGTATACATAGGGCATAAAGTTTCATTATGAAACTCAAATGCTAAGAATTCCTTTAGGAATGATTAAATTAGCACTATTTATTTAAGTTGCTATGTTGTTAAGTCCAGATCAATAAGTTCTGTCTCTTAGTGACCCTATGTACAACAGAACAAAACACTGTCTGATCCTACATCATCCTTACAATTGTTATGTTTGAGCCCAGTATTTTTGCCACTGTATAAATCCAACTCTTTGGGGTTGTACATTTTTTGTTGAATCCCTCACTTTACCAAAATTGTCTCCAAGACAAGTCCTTCTTGACATTATGTCCAGAGTATAAGAGATATTAGTCTCACCAACATCAGTCATAAAGAGCATTCAGGAGTACCTGTTCCTTCTTCTGGCAGACCATGGTACTTTGAATATTCTTCATCAACACCATAATTCAAATGCATTGAATCATCAAGTCTTCCTTATTCATTATCCAGCTTTCTCATCCAAATGACGTGATTGGAAATACCATAACATGAGACAGACACATATTTATCCTCAAGTGACACATTTGCTCTTGAACATTTTGCTGGTTTTTTTTTGCTGTTAGGTGCCAATGAATTGGTTGTGCTTCACAGTGGATAAGTACTTGGTTGCTAACCCAAAGGTCAGCTATTCAAACCCCTCACTGACTGTGTAAGACCATCAGTCACTCCATAACAGAAAGATGTGGCAGTCTACTTCCATCAAGGAGCTCTGGTAGCATAGTGGTTACGAATAGGGCTGCAATCCTCAAGGTCAGCAGTTCAAAACTACCATCTTTCCATGGGAGAAAGTTAAGGCTTTCTACTCCCATAAAGATTTACAGCCTCGGAAACCCAGTACAGGGTAGCTATGAGTCAGAATTGACTTCATAACACATAACAACAACAACTACCCCACCTCTGCTCTATTTAAGGAGTGTTCTCCTCTCCTTCCCCACCAATTCTCTGACTTTCTTTGTCTCCTCCTCTCTCTCCATCTCCTTTCTTCGTTCAATAAACAAAGATTCTGGAAAGGGTGTTCGATTTTCCTTCAACTTCATTCCTAAATTAACGCGCCATCGTGACCCTTCCTATGCAAACTGAAATGAGTGGACCAAGGTGTTCTGTCCTGCTGGGACTGGTGCTCTTGTTGGTGTCCGTGGGACCATGCCGAGGGAGTACCGAAAAACTCTCCGAGAGTCAGACACTTTTAAGCATCATCTTGGAGATTGTTCAGGAGAATAAAAACTGCACCTTGGAGGCCTCCAAGAGCTTGGAGTTTTTCAATTATCCTGTCATTTTTTTGGACGGGAGTGAAGTCCCTGACAACAGAGATCATCCTGAGCGGCAAAAAGCTGGTAAGTCATTTCGTTTACATTATTTATCTCAACAAATCGTACACACACACATAACACATGCACACACACACTTCACATTCACACTTACACAGAGACACTGACACATATAATCATGGACTACTTTTTAGTAACTTCAATCTTGAGTATTTTTACTTAAGTTGAATATAAAGGAAAACACTACAATTTGTATTTGGCTGAAAGAAGAAGTGTCTTTTAAAAAACACATTTAAAAAAGATGTTAATCCTGATTAAAAAAAAAAAAAGACTTCTAAAAGAAATATGAAACAGTAAGAGGTTTATGCACACATAATCATAACTTGCCCACTTCTTAGATGTCTGATTTGGTACCAGAGTCAGTAAATTCTGAATAGAACTGTCATCTGTTATTTTGGAAATGGGAATATTTTCAGCAAAGCATTTCCAACTGGAAAAATGGTTTCAGAGTGACAGCCCCATGGGAAATTTCTGAGGGAAGCATGTAAACTTTAATGCTTTTCATGACACAATTAAGTCAAGCATGATAAGGTCAATTTTATACAGACTGACCAAAGTTACGGAGTAAATGAAGACTGACATCAGGGAGATGTCTAAACCTTGCAAGTGAGTAGATTTTAAATGGAAGTGTTCTTTCAGATGGTATTTGGGAAGGAGCTAAGGAGTATTTGTGGAAAATAAAATTTGACATCACATACAATCAACACTAAGTAATTAGCACAACATGATACATGAAAATCATTAATGATGACTATAATAAACAAAGGCTGAAATCAGAAAGAAGATCAGAAAACCATTGTTATTAACAAGTGTAAAGCAAGAAATGTTGTAAAAGAAGTTGCTTGAAAGAGTTTTCCTTGACAATTTTGTTTATCTTGTATACAAGGCTAATGTGTATTTCTGTTTATTTACTCTGGCCTTCTCAATAGGTGCTTTTTAGTTCAATTTAACCTTTATCTAAATATATAACAAAAAATGTAAATTCTATAATACATTTATTGTTTGAAGGGTCAGATTTTCCTCCAAGAACTTTGACAGGTTATGACATTTGATTTCTAAGGTCTGAAAAATAAAAATGTCTAGAAGCTCACCATCAAAGCATAACCTTCCCCAAAAACTTTATGATCACTGTCTGTATTATGGTGATAGGGATAGGAAAGATAACATTGGAGCTTTGTGCTCCCATTAATTAATTGGAAGAAAATCATGCTCCTGAATACAAGTTTTTATACTGTCATGTATAACAATCAAATGTGGCTCAGATCTGTTTTATTTAACTAATAATCTGAGTGATACAGAATTTCCAGTAACTATCTTCTACCTGAACATAATGATGCATGAAAACAAAAATGCTTCTTTCAGGCAATATGAAAATAATTCACATCTTATTTCTTTACCCTCAAATAGATGGTAACTATGAGTCGGAACCAACTCCATGGCACATGATGACATCAGTAACACCAACAGAAACAACTAGTGAATATGTGAAGAAGATATTCATACAACATATTACGGGTAAGTTTTCTTCTTAATTCCTTTACTTCAAATTCTTCTGCAACTTGCTGAATCCTCATGATTGTTTTTTTTTCTTCCATGTTACAGGTCCCCTTTATTTTAGTGCACAGTGCAGCACATACTGTGAAAGACTGTATAACCACTCGAAAGAATGTAGCACTCCTGACCGTAAGTGACAAATCTGTAAATTACTTACGAGTACAGTGTAGAACATCTGAAATATATTTAATATCCTTTGATTAAATACATATTATGCATTTAATATATATATGTATTTTATATATATATATATATTTCATCTTAGATATGGAGTTAGGGCCCAGGGCATCCAGCTCATTGAAGTACATAACGAAATTCTACAGCAAAGTGTGTCACAAAATTGAAAATTATTCATGTCCTTTGGAATTCATTAGCCCTTGGAATAGGCCCCTTCCATTCACTTTCTTGCTTTGTTGATGTATTCTGTATTACATCTGTATCTACTGAACTATGACAAACACACGTTAAGATGGATTGTTAACATTGCTACTGCTGAGTCAATAGTCTGGGAAGCAAACAAAATCAGATTAATTTGAACCATTCTGAGTGAACTTTCTTGACCATACCTGGAACCTTGAGCAGAGACTTTTTTCATCAGTAATCGTAACCTCATCTATCAGTAATTTTATTGCAATTTCAAAACCCTGCTTTTCTGGCTGCCTTTATCAGTGGATCAAAAATGCATAGCTATCCTCATCAGTCTAGCTCTCAGCTATAAACTTTTCTCCTCCTTAGAGGTTTCCTTTCATTGACTAGTATAAAAATGTCCCTGGGAGTTCTGGTGTGGGGTTGAGGGTTAATCCACTGGACTGCGATGTCTGTTTGAACTTCAAGGTCAGTGGTTCAAGTTCATCAGCCACTCCTCAGAAACCCTATATAGGGTTGCTATGAATTGGAACTGACTCAATGGCACTTAACAACAACAATAATCCTTCTCTTCAACATGGTTCTTCTGGCTATCTATCCACAGTAAAATGTATTTTGTTTACTTTAAGGGCCTCATGCTGCTCTTTATACCTCGCATAATATTAGCAAGTGATTTATTATATATCGACTAGAGTTCTAAACCAATTTTTTAATAGGGACTAAAACTTTTAAGTCTGGGAAGACAAAAGTCTTACAAATATGTTAGGTATCTTACTGATCACTTTCAGAGAATATCCAGAGGGGCCAGCAGATCAGCTGGCCATTTTTACCTGCCCTTCCTTTTAAAAGTCATGAAGTGATCTGACAAGAAGTAGAAGTTTTTTTCTGTTTAAATCAGTGAAGTTTACCCATATGATAACAGCTCTAATTTATTAGAACATTTATATGCATTAGCTATTTAGCTAGGCACATTCACAAGCATTCTATCCATTCATATTGACAATCCAGTAAGGTAGGAATTATTGTAATTTCAAACATGAAACTGTGGTACACATAAGTGAAACATATCACATGACAAGCAAGCCGGACTAAATGGGATTCAAATGTTGATCTTTCTGGCCACACTCTTATCACCATAGCATTCTAACTCTAAGGCAAACAGCAAACATTTCCCAAGCAGTTTTTCTTTCATCATTTTCAAGCATTGTTTCAATTTCCCCCTTCGTTCATGGCATATATATCCAGCATACCCCAGTTTCTTATTTCCTTCCTTTAAAATAGAATCCCTTTCTGCTTGACAATTATTATACTGGAGTATAATTCTTGGAGTCAGAAAACTTATTTTATATTTATTGTTAAAAGTTGATTTTCATAGGAAACATGCTGTTGTTGCTAAGTCCTATTGAGTCAGTTTGAATTCATAGTGACTGTGTATAGGGTTTCTGAGGAGTGGGTGCTGGGTTTGAACCACTGACATTGTGGTTATCAATCCAGTGCTTATCCTACAGTGCTACATCAGGACTCCATATGAACATAGCATAATAATAGAGTCTACAATTATCCATTGAAAGTGATCTTAGTAGACATTACAACCAATCTTTTCACGTATGGATGAGGAAACAGACTTAAAAGTTTACATCGTACACCACCACACAGATCTTCTCAAAGCTAGGACTAAAACCTCATGTTCTGACTTTCCAATCCTTTTCTAATGCATTATGTTATGCTCCTTAAAGCCTATCTCTGGTGGACTACTGACAGATCTGTACATTTATATGAGGGTCTGTTAACTTGGTTTACATCTCTACTCAGGCCATAAAAAAACTGGAGAGCTGAAGTTAATATTCTTATGCAGTAGCATAAGAGAAAATTAATAGAATCCTGAAATATATTAGAAATTAAAGGAGCTATAGAGTCTTCTTAATAGAAGTGCAGATTCTAGGACCAACAACCTTGGCATCTGGCTAAAAATGCAGAATTTAAGTCCCACCCCCAAACCCACTGAATCAAAATCTGAATTTTAATACGATTCCATATTATTTCCATGCAAATTAACATTTCAGAAGTATTGCCTTAAAGAACATTCATATTTAATGGGAACATGTGATCAGTTTTAGGATTTCCAGACATGTTGCAAATGGGAAGTATTTAGAATTCATTGACTGGATTAACCCGTGAATTGACATAATGCACCACCTCCAAGATAAATGATCTATTTATGACCATTTTATTATAAAAACTATGGTGCAATTGATGAAAAAAAGCAATAAATCCAGGAGTCCAGATGGCCCTCCTTCTAACTCAGGATCATTTGTCTTCTTTGAACTCAAGCTAACTGTACTCTTAGTATTTAGAGGGTATATTTTTAGAAGTAGAGTTAGCTACTTATTTATTTGTCATATTGTACAGACTAAAAGTTGTCAACTTTTACTCATTCATTCATATTTTCAAGTTAGGAGTATGAATTCTTCCATTTTTAAGTGGGATTTTGCTGTTCTCAATAAGTAAATTTTAGTCATTTATAAACCGGTGCAGCTTTCCATAGAACTTCATCTTAAGAAAATTCCCTTTTGGTGGTTTATCAAGACTATTCTGACACATAGCAGCAGTATAAGACAGAGCAGATTTACCCCATAGGGTTTCCAAGGCTGTAAATCTTTACAAAAAGTACACTGCCACATCTTTTGCTGTGTAGCAGATTATGGATTCAAACCATTAAACTTTTAGTTAGCAGTTGAGTGCTTCAACCACTGTGTTACCACAGCTCTTTCCATGATTATTGTTGTTAAGTGTTGTTGAGTCAATTCTGATTGATACCAACCATGTAGGGGGTTTCCAAGGAGCACTGGTGCATTTGAACCACCAACCTTGTGGGTAGCAATCCAATGCTTATCCTGCATCCACTCACCAAGACCTCACTTATTTTCAGTAACATTTATCAGAATAGTGAAATGGGAAATTATGAAGGAAACCAGCCTGCTCTCAGAATTGGTCCATTACTTGCTTTCGTCATCCATTCTAGGTTTCTCTGCTTTCTGACTTGCCTTTTGATCTATTTTCTTTAAAATTTTAACACAGAAGCCTTTGTGATCAAGTTAGCAAGGGACTGAGTCTGCACACGACCTATAAGTTAGGTTACACAGGGATATGGATAGACCCTCTTTCCTGTGTCCTTGGAAAAACTGGTGTTATTTGGATAAATCTGAGAGCCACTGAGAGAATAAAATAGGCCGAGAGAGCAGCTGTGCAGCAGACTCTGCTTTCACCCCTTCCTTCTGTCCACTCACAACTCCCTCCACTATGTGATGCTGCAGCCCCTAACTACCAGAAACTATGAAATCAACAATTTAGAGTTCTCGATGGCAAATGAGTTTTCATATTGCTTCCAGGAAATTCAGAATATTTTTTTTAAATGAATGGATTCAGGAGTTGATATACTTGCAAAAACAATGACTTTTATTTATTTTATGAAGAACAATGCCTTTTATTTATTTATAATGAAGGTAACTGACAATGGTCTGTGATTTTTTTTTCCAACATAGAATATTACAAATGTGCCAGACTCCTTACTCTGTTGGCTGTTAATCCAAAGTGCCAGAAGCCTAAGGTAAGCTCTTTGACAGCAAAATGGCATTGGAACACATGCCAAATATTGGAATCCCATTGGAGACATGAAAAAATTCATGAGTGTTGAGAAAGATTTATTCTTAGGCATTACTTTGAGTAAGGTTGATATAACACTCAACATATCTCAAAATGATTATAGATAACCAGCGATAGAGGCTCCTGGTGTGGTGCTTTAGGATCAGCACTGGACTGTGGTCTACGCTGAATCCTAGAAAAGCTGACGTTTGATCTTTATTAGATAATTAGCATCAAATTATCCCTAATAGTGACGGCAAAATACCAATCCAGTTTTTCCATGATTGCCACAAACAGAATTACTAAGGATTTAAACTACATCACAAATATTGAACCTAAATATTATGCCTACACTTTTATTTATGATGATTTTCATTCCTTTTACTACCATCTATGTGCCAGGCCCAGTACACATATCAGGCACATAACTATGGAACTACAGTACTGTCCAAAACAAAATAGATTACACTATATTGTTGTTGTTGCTAAGTGCTGCTGAGTCAGTTCCAACTCAGAACAACTCTGTAAAGGATTTGTGAGGAGCAGCTGGTGGGTTACAACTGTTGACCTTGAGTTTCAGATCCCAGGCCTGACTCTACAGCACCATGCCAGGAATGACATTGGCTTAGAACCGAGAACTACAGCGGTTTCTTAAGTATATAGAAATATTGTATGGTGTAATTGCACTTAACTTATGGGTGTCTAGAATTAATGTGAAAAGTATGAATAGCTATAATAAACTGAGTAATAATACAATAAATGTACTTATTTTCCATAGGAAGAAAGCAGTAAAGAAGAAACACCATTCGGAATACCATGATAAATGCCATGGAAACCAACAGGAAAATATAACTTAGTATCTTTATAAACATATTCCCTTGTGAACCAGATTTATTTTTGCAGACAGACTCTTCCATGATTCTTTTGAGTTTTCTATGTTGACAGTTTGCAGATATATACTCAGTATATTAGTATACCTGAGAGTGATTTGTACCACGCCACTTTAGAAAACAAAAGATCACACGCCATATTTGATGTGTAGTTCAACAAAATGACAGAATATTTCATTCTCCTGACTCGTTGAAATCACAAACAATATTTCATTAGAAACATAGAATCTGAAATCTATATTTTGATATATTATTTGATATCTTTATTATTTTTACATTTCCATTCCCAGAGCATTATTTGAAGTTGCATGAATGAAAAATAACATTTCAATCATATTTTGGAAACAATGGAGAATAAATCTGTGAACAACCTATCCAGACAAAATTCATTTCTGCGCTGTATAATGTATTCAACATAGCATTCCAGATACTGTGTAATATGTAGATGTTGTAAACAGGCCCAAGTAATAAATGAGGTGTTTATTGTAATGAATTCATTTTTCAAGTAATTCTTTACTTCCATTTTAACAATTCAATTGTTGGGAATCCATGATTTACAAACTTATTGAGTGAGATCAATATTGGCAGACCTTCAAAGAATACATAGGGCATAAAGATTCATTATGAAACTCAAATGTTAAGAATTCCTTTAGAAACAATGAAATTAGTATTATTTATTTAAGTTGTTATGTTGTTAATTGCTGATCAGTCAGTTCTGACTCTTAGTGTCCCTATGTACAACAGAACAAAACACTGTCTGATCCTAAATCAACCTCACAATTGTTATGTTTGAGCCCAGTATTTTTGCCACTGTATAAATCCAACTCCTTGGGGGTGTCCATTTTTGCTGAATCCCTCACTTTACCAAAATTGTCTCCAAGACAGGTCCTTCTTGACATTATGTCCAAAGTATGAGATATTAGTCTCACCAACATCAGTCCTAAAGAGAATTCAGGAGTGCCGATTCTTTCTTCTTGCAGACCATGGTACTTTAAATATTCTTCATCAACACCATAATTCAAATGCTTTGGCTCATCAAGCCTTCCTTAATCATTATCCAGCTTTCTCATTCAAATGACGTTATTGGAAATACCATAACATGGACAGTCGCACATTTGTCCTCAAGTGACACATCTGCTCTTGAACATTTTGCTGTTTTTGTATTGTTAGGTGCCAATGAATTGATTGTGACTCACATCGACATTATGCACAAAACAAGAAAACACTGCCAGGTCTTGTTCCAAATTCAGTCATGTTATGATTGGGCCCATTGCAGCTATGCTAATACAACTAGTTGGGGGTCTTCTTATTTTTTGCTGACCCATTACTTTACTAAGCATGATGTCCCTTTATAGGGACTGGTACCTCCTGATAAGAGGAACAAAATATGAGAGATTAACTCGTACTATCCTAGCTTCTAAGTGCATTCTGGCTGTACTTCTTCCAAAGCCAGCCTTGTTTTTTCTGGCAGTCAGTACTCTTATCTTCTGTATTCACTGCCCAACTTTCATATCCATATGAGACTACTGAAAATACCATGGATTAGGTCAGGAGTACTTTAGTCCTCAAACTGACATCTTTGCTGTTGAACACTTTAAAGTGGTTATGTGCATCAGATTTGCCCAATGCAATATGTAGTTTGATTTCTTGTCTGTTGCTTCTGCGAGTGCTGATGGTGGATCCAGGCAAAACTAAGGTTTTGACAATTTCATATTTATCTCCATTTATCATGTTATTTATTCCTTCAGTGGTGAAAATTTTTGTTTTCTTTACATGAGGTGCAACCCATTTCACCTGATGTAAAGGTTTTGATCTTCATCAGTAAGTATTTTAAGCCCTCTTTGCTTTCAGCAAGCAAGGTTTTATCCTCAGCACATCACAGGTGGCTATTGAGTCTTCCTCCAATCCTGATGCCACAGTCTTCATATAATCTCATATAATCCAGTTTCTCACATTCTATGTTCAGCGTATAAATTGAATAAGTGTGATGAAAGAATACAACCATGGTACAAATCTTTACTGATTTTAAAAAATTCAGTGTCTCCTTGCTCTGTTTGCACAACTACCTGTTGTTCTATGTACAGGTTCCTCATGAGCACAGAGAAGTGTTCCAGAATACCCATTCTACTCAGTGTTGGTCATTGCTTATCAGGATCCACACAGTCAAAAGCTTTTGCCTAGGTTGTTAAGTGCGGTTTTGGGCTCACACTCATAGTGACCCTGTATAGGGTTTCTGAGGAGTGGCTGTTGAATTTGAACGTCTGACCTTATGTTTCAAACTGACCTTGTGGGCCAGAGCATTATCCCACAGCACCATACCAGGATCCTTAAATACTGCAAATTGAGGCTTGAATATTTTATTCAGTTTATTCAGTTTGATAAATTCTGAACATGTTCTTCCCTTTTGTTTTTCTAACTCTAGATCTTTACACATTGACTTTGTTTTCACAGGCTGCCCTTTAAAATTTTTTATTTAGTTCTTTACCTCCTTATTTCTTCTATTTGCTTTAGCATCTCTACACTGGAGAGCAAGGTTCTGAGTCTGTAGACATCCATTTTGATCTCTTCCTTCTTTCTTGCTGTCTTAATGACCTGTATGATGTTCTTGATGTCATCTCACAACTCTTCTGCTCTCCAGGCCTCACTGTCTAATACATCAAATCTGTTCTTAGCATATTTCATAATTCAGGAGGGATATGTTCAAGGTCATAATTTGGCTCTCTTGAAACAGTTTTAATTTTCTTCATCTTCAGTTTGAACTTATATATAAGCAATTGATGGTCTGTTCCTGGCCATGCTTTGGCTGATATGGAGCTTTTATATCATATCTTTCTAAGTTGTTACTGTTATGTGCCGTCGAGTCTGTTACAACCCTGTATAGGGTTTCCAAGGAGCCTTTGGTGAGCTTGAACCATGGTTCTTTGCAGTTCAAATGGCTTTGCACTCTGGCGCATTAACCCATAGTGCCACTCAAGGTCTCCGAATAGATATAGTCAATTTGTCTTTGTGTATTCCATCAGTTGACATGTATACTCATCTTTTGTTGTTTAAAAAAGGTATTTGCCACAAAAAATTCATTGGTCTTGCAAAATTGTATCATGTGATCTTCAGCATTACTTCTACCACTAATGCCATATTTCCAAACTACTGATCATTCTTCTTTGTCTCATACATTTGCATTCCAATTGCCTGACACACACTTCTGATTATAATCCACTCAGTAATCCTTGTTTTGTGCAAATGACTGCCTCTTGGTCAATGCACAAGTGTCTAATGAGCAAAATTAAGTGTTCTGGAATTTCCATTCTTCACAATATTATCCATAGCTTGTTATGATCCAGTTGAATGCCTTTGCATCACCAATAAAGCACAAATAAACACCTTTCTGGTATTCTCTGATTTCAGCCAAGATCCATCTGAGGTCAGCAATGATATTCCGAGTTTCATGCCCTCTTCTGAATCTAGCTTGAATTTTTGGCAGCAGCCTGATGTCCTGGTGTGGTGCTATAGAATAAGCACTTGACTGTTATCCACAAGGCCTGTGGTTCAAACCCACCAGCCACTCCTTGAAGACCCTATATAGAGTCAATGAGTCAGAATTGACTTCACGGCACTTAACAAAACAACAACCTGTCAATGTACTAGTACAGCCATTTTTAAATTATCTTCAGAAAAAATATTACTTGCCTGTGATATGAATGATATTGTGATTTCTGCATTTTCTTAGAATGGTTTCAAATATGGATCTCTTCCAATCAGTTGGCCAATTAGCTGTCTTCCAAATTTCTTAATATAGACTAGTGTGCACCTCCAGTACTGCATCAGTCTGTTGAAACATATCAATTGGTACTTTTTTCAATTCCTGAAGCCTTGTTTTTCACAAATGCCTTCAGAGCAACTGACACCACCATTTTTCTTGATCAATGTACCTCTTGACATGCTTACACATCAATGGATTATTTTTGGTATAGTGTCTCTCTACCAATATTTTGTCCATAGAATCTTTCAATACTGCAACTTGAGGAATGGTGTTTTCTCTTGAGTCTTTTCAGTTTGAGAAATACTGAGCATGTTC